TTTGGTCGATAACAAATTTTTTCTATGAAGCAGATTTTCACATCAAGGAATTTATGGAATTAATCAAAATTCTATTAATATTATGATGTCTTCGATTGTTTCATTAACTTTCCTATGCTGTATGATTTTAATAATGCTGTTTTTAAATTAAATAAGCATCAGTATTATGAAGTAATTTTTGATTATGCTACATATATCTAAAAGAAACAAATTAATCAAATAACTAACAAATCAAGGAAATGAAAAGAATTCAAGACATATGTGTATTTCCTATGTTGCAATAAACAATAACATTTGTTTCATTATTTCATGTATTACGCTAAAGGGAAATGTACCAGCGATTATCAGGAGAGATACAATATATACAATTAATATACTTCTGTTAAAATGTTTCTTATATAAAGTTAAGAAGGTAAAATAACTATCTTTTAAAGTCTGAAAATTTCCACGCATAAAAGGCTATACCCCGGGGTATAGTTTTTGCTACCCACCCCTCGGAAAATTTTCAGGCAATTTTTGCCGCCAATTTTGATTTCCTCTAATCAATCTATAGACTTATGATGTCATCCTGACTTCAATAGCATTGTGACGTCATCAAGATTTAAGCTCATTTTATCAGTGTTATCTTATTCCAGATACTTGTTCAAAACTTTTATAATCATTTTTTTTTCATGTTTTTCCTATGGAACTGTAGTATCAGGTAAATCCAACCCTCAAAATTATGATACACATCAGTATAATAAAACGCTTATCCACTGGCTGTGAGTGGGATAGCTCTTTCATCAAACCCTTGACAGGAACTATTCCCCTCGGACAAGCCCTCGGGGAATAGTTCCCTGTCGCGGGTTGATAAAAGAGCTATCCCACTCTCAGCCGGTGGATAAGTGTATATTATTTTCTTATAAATCTATCGTTAATTTGATCATTTGTTTCGAAAGTAATTGTTGTGTAAGAATTGATTTTTTTGCACAAAAATGCAATATGATGATTAAGCAATTGTACATGAAAAATATGGTGATAACGAACTGTGGTCAAGCTCAAAAGTCCATCAAACATTACAAATCTGGAGCAGAGCAAACACGGACCTTCAAATCATCAGAGGTGGGATCAGGTGCCATGGAGGAATGAGCATCCCATGCCGACCGGTCTCATCCGTTTTGTGCCCCCTGTTATGATCGGGAAATAACGAAAAAAATCCGTCGACAATTCAGTGTGTAAATAATGGTCTAACAATTAGTATGAAAAATGTCAGTCAGCATTTGACTTTATGACAGATTGTATTTGCTGACATGGTCATTGTATCGACAACAGAACTTACGAATGATGACTTCAAATAATATTCAACAATATTCTTGTCTGTCAATAACCTACCTCGTTTTAGAAATTGTTCATACGTAGAGTATGCTCTTGCGTACCGAATCAACTGAGAGATATAAACCTCAGGTAATGAAGGTATATTGCTGCATAAGATAGAAACGTTGAGGATTGAAAAGTTAAAGTCATCACGTTTATCGTAAAGTTTGGTTGTTAGATTACCATTAACTTCTTTTTCAAGTAAAATATCCAAATATGGAACAGATGTGTAAGACTCTGTGGTATCTTTTATTTACGGAATGGATTTAATAGCTACCCATTCTGTACGGTATAAACTGGGTTGGGGCAGTTTACGCTTTATAAACCGCGAAGCAGTTCATAAAAAAAGCGTAAACTGTTCCAACCCAGTTTATACTGTATAAATTGGGTAGCTATTAAATTCATTCCTTATAATTTAATTTTCATTCATTTGGTGTAAGAAAAAAAGATGATTGTCCTTAAAAAATGACTTCAATTTGTAAAAAATTTGAATGTAACATCAGGCGGATCGATACGTTTTTGATGCAAGTCATTGTGACGTAGGCAACCCATTTTATACCATATAAAGTAAATTTTTTATTCAATCAAATTCAGCGTTACAACCAGAATTAAATTATTTTAAGTTCACCGATCGACATAAGAATGGAAATAACTATTGTTAATTGACAATACGTCGTCGATATATCTAAATGTCGATTCGAAGGCCACAGCAAGTGTTTCTTCTTTTCAAGTATAAGATTTTGGACAGATTCTGCTTCATATTGTTATACATTATAATACATTTTATTTTTTTTTCTTTTTGATGAATTAATATTTATATTTCCAACTGTTTTCTCTGTGTTATCTCTTTAAAAGCTTAGTTTGTTTATTTTTCGATATTTACAACTGATTGTTAATTTCGCCACGTGAAAGGTTAAGTGCCTAAAATGCATGACATTTTCTCACAGATGTCTTAATGAATCTACTAGACAGCTTTTTTTTAATTTAAAATTACGTCGCCCGCGTGGCGCAGTGGTTAGAGCGTCTGCTCTAGAGTCGCGGAATAAGGAGTTGATCCTCACGTTGCGGGTTCGTCCCACTGCGGGACGTGGGGATCGGTCCTTCGGATGAGACAGTATAAACCGAGGTCCCGTGTCGCAGTAGATACATCCCTCACTGCTCAATGGCCCTGAGTGCCGAGTATAGGTCAAAATTTGTACCCCTCCACTGGTAAGTGGTGGCGTCTCCACGTAAGTGAAAAATTCTCGAGAGGGACGTTAAACAACATAAAATCAACATATTTAAAATTACATTTTTATTTCGGATATAAATGTAAATATAAGGAATTACTCTCTAGTTTGTTGGGTGTACTATTTAAATCAACGACATACGTTGGAAACGTGGGGTAATTTATGCATAACGGGCTTTGCAAAACGAGCTTCGCCTGTTATTCAAATTATCACAAATTTCCAACAACCATTGATGCCCTGGCATATCCCCCAAAAAAGCTGACAGTGATTCCTTAATATACCTGCAGTTCTGAGAGATATTCACTTGATTAACGCAATGTTGAAGAACTCGTTGTTGTTTATAAATACTATGATTAAGGCACGGTGTATCTGAAAGTATATTAAAAAAATGAACAACAGGAATATATGATAAGAACATTTACATCCTACTGTTGTTAGTGTGAAGCTTTGGAAATTACAATAAAAACAAGCTAATTCAGAGAATCCGTGTCCCCCGCTTAAGGACAAAAGAAGAGCATGAGCTGATCTGGTGGGGCTTCGTTGGGCACGGGGGGGGGGATGGCCGAGTGGGGCACTGTAAGAAAGGCGGTCATAGGGAGTTATAGTATAAATTTAATTGCAAGAACTCAGAGGCTTCTTGAGATATCGTCCGTAAATGAAAGTTTTAAACACACACACACACACACCCTCACCCCCCCCCCCTCACACACACACACACACACACAGAGAGAGAGAGAGAGAGAGAGAGAGAGAGAGAGAGAGAGAGAGAGAGAATGTCTGAATTTACGACCTTGACCTTTGACTTTTTGGCATCAAAATAAACTATTATTAATTGTAACGGGGACCGTTACAGATGTTCCCCAAACGCTCCCCAACTCCCTTTTGGTGTCCTATTCCCAGTAAGCTTCATTAACTATAGCAATTAAGTATGTTGGTCCTTTTACGCATTACAAGCGTGAGCACGGGCATGCATGTACATAATGACCATGTCAACTTGTCTACACTTTTAATACATCTTTATATTCAAATTTCATCCAAAGATTAAAAAAATCGGGCTATAGTAAGTATATTTGTCATTTTATGCATTGCACGATCGCGCACTTGCCTGCATGTCTATGATGACCATGTCATTTTATCTACACTCTTTATATATATCTAAGTATTTTGAGTATCAAAGCATTTCATCAAAAAGTATAAAAGTTACAGCTATATCAAGTATATTGGTCATTGTAGCATTGCACTTATAATATCTCTTCATATACCCAGTATCAAAGCATTTCATCAAAAAATACAAAAGATACGGCTATATTAAATACAAAGGTCATTTTATGCATTGCGCGTGCGCGCATGTGCATGTTGACAATGTCATCTTGTCTACATTTATAATATGTCTATATATTCTGAATATCAAAGCCTTACATCATAAAATATAAAAGTTATGGCTATATCCTGTATATTGGTCATTTCACGTGTTGCACGTGCGCGTACTTGCATGCACGTGCGCGCAAAATGACCTTCGTTCCGCAAATCTACATAACATGTCTATTGACCCTAAAAAGGTTTCACCTCAATTGGACGTGTAGTTTACGAGATCATTAACGGACAAATAAGTACCCAGGAAGAAAAAAAAAATTAATAATAATAAGAAACAGAGTAAAAACAATATGTTCCCAAACTTCGTTTGGGGAACATAATAAGGGTCTTTCTTATGCCATAGGGAGTTGTTGTATAAAATGTCATTGCAAAAGCTCAAAGACTTTTCTAGATATCGCGCGCAAACGAAAGTGTTAAAACAGACAGAATTTTTGAATTTATGATCTTGACCTTTAACCGTTTGACCTCAATAGTGGTCTTTCTTAGGCCATAGGAAGTTGTTGTGCAAAATTTCATGGTAAAAGTTTAAAGGTTTCTCGGGATATCGCATGGAAACGAAAGTGTAATAGACAGACAGAAATACAGACAGACAGATGGACGTACGGACGGATGGACGCACAGACAGACCGAAATTAATATCCCCCACTTTCAGCGGGGGACAAAAACAGGGTTTAGTTCCATATAATATTTAAAATACAGAACAAATTGTTCATGCATATCACTAACTTGAATGATTAGATAAAAAAAAAAGTACATCAGATATCATGCAAAGAGTTTTACACCTGAACAAACGACTTGTAAGTGCTACATGTACATGTACCTCTTGCAATAAATTACACATTTGTAAGAAACATAATGCATAAATAATTGATTGATTAATGAATAATAATTGTAATGATTATCAATTGTAACCTATACAAATACCAAGCACTTTAATTGTATCGCCGAAATATGGCTGAAATATTGCCGACTCGGCGTTAAGCAATAAACCATCATTGGTTACATACGTGACTAAATTCGGTTTCAGTAAAGCTTTAGATTTAACTAACCGCATAATTCTACATCACACAATTCCAACCGAATTGAAGAATCATTCGTGAAGCACCAAGGTTCCTCTCTATCAAAGTTTCGACAGTAGTTCTCTATTGCATGACTAAAACTACCATACGTGTGTTCGTGTGGAGTTTGTGTATCCCAGCGCTGACATGAAAGCCCGGATTTCGTCATGTTCATGGTTCCAGTGTATAAATACCCAGGCAATCTACATGTCACATTTGATTTGCCTGAAAACGGTATATCAATTATAATTACAGGTTCTTATCAGTTCAATAAAAAAAGAATTACATGTACGAGTGTTGTCCGGTAAAATCGTGGACAAGTAGTCTAGGGTGAAAAATAATCAACACCGCTTTATAAAATTTCCCCTACTATTCATCAATATACGTAGCAAATTTCAAAGAGTTATATGCCCAAATAAACTAAATATGGGATTTTATGTTATGTGTGGTATCGACTTACGGTGCATGGATGATAAAGTCAAAATGTCCGAAGCAGCGTCACGTTTCATCTTTGTTTAAAAAGGTTGGATAAACCCCGTTTTAATTAGGGGAATGCACACATCCGAATTCCCCTTTATTCCTGCAAAAACAGTCAAGAGACCAATATCGCAAACACATGGGACCTTATGAAAACTTGCATTATATCTAGGTTATTGAGGGTTCTTTCACTTTCACTGAACTAAATAGGCCGTCTTTCTTCGACAAGTCTGCAATGATAGAGTCTTTCGTAATTGCCAATAGCTGATTGTATGTTTTGATCTGCCGGAGACTCGATCAAAAATGCTCCGTTTTAAAAAAAAAAAAATGCCCATTCCACTTGTATTCTAATGTTTTTTTGATATTTTTATATTATCATTTAAAGTCTCTTAAGTCGTCATTACTCAATCAACAAAAAACTGAACTGTTCTCCGGTGCGCCGTAACGTCATCAAATGTCGCCATTTTTGTCCCCCGCTTTCACTGAAAGTGGGGTATATCAATTTTGGTCTGTCCGTCCGTCCGTCCGTCCGTCTGTATTTCTGTTCGTCTGTAACACTTTCGTTTTCGCGCGATAACTCGAGAACCCTTTGAGCTTTCGCAATGAACTTTTGCATAGCATTCCCTTGGGCTTAAAGAAGAACCCTATTGATTTTGAGGTCAAAAGGTCAAAGGTCAAGGTCATTAATTCATATATACTGTCTGTTTTAACACTTTCGTTTCTGCGCGATATCTCGCGAATTCTTTGAGCTTTTGAAATGAAATTTTACATGACAACTCCGTGTGGCCTAAGGAAGACCCCCTTTGATTTTGAGGTCAAAAGGTCAAAGTTCAAGGTCGTAAATTCATAAATTCCCTCTGTGTGTAACACTATCGTTTCCGGACGATATCCTAAAAAGCTTTTGAGCTTTTGCAATGAAATTTTATACCAAAACTCCCTATGGCCTCTCTTGCCACTCTCAAAGTGTCCCGCTCCGTTTTTTGTTTTTGTTGCTGTTTTTTTTTTTTTTTAATTTTTTGTATGAAAAGTCGCTTGGCACAATTTTAAGCACAGCGGTATGTCGAGAGTTATTACGTATAATACAGGTTGTCGGCGGACTTTATATTCTAATTACATTTATTAGAACTGTTTAGTAAAGGCTAAATTAGACAACATTTATTGTGTAAAATTTTGACAATATCAAACGTGAATATAAACATTATATGTGAACTAATGTTTGTATTTGATATGTTGTATAATCAAGTGCCTCCGTGGTCTAGTGGTATGTTGCTCGCTTAGCAAGCGAGAGAATCGGGTTCAATCCCCGGACGAATCTCTCTTTTTTTAATGGTTTTTTTTTGGATTTACTAAATGATACTATTCAACATGTGAAATGAAATAAGTTACGATGTATGGCGTGTACAAACTCATCAAACCATTATTACAGTGTAATAACTATTCTGTATATAGTAAATTAAAAAGAATCTTCTATACACATATTAAAGAATAAACAATCAAATCTTTATATCCATATTGGCTTTTTTTAATTTGCTCCAATATACATGTATACATTTATTAATTCTAAAAATACAGGGGGCAGTGTGACCCCCCCCCCCCCCGAACTGCGCAGGCTCTTCTTTTTTCCCTAAGCGGGGAATTCTCTGAATTAGCTTGTTGTGCTCTGCGTTTACCACTTTCCCATTTCAAAGTCTTTGAAAACTGCGAAAAAATTAAGTAAATTCCTTGAAATTTTCCGAATGACGACATAATTGATAGGTAATTAAAAATAATTTAATTTCTATCCCAATCTAATCTAATTAATACTTTTATTTCGAATTGATACTCGAATATTCCCTGATAAAACCCTGATTATCTGGTCGTGCGCCGTAGGGGTAAGCTTTGTGCACATTCAAGTATAATAAAATCATTATTTTTGAATATAATGTATTAAAAATGATTAGATGTACTTAACTATGATAATTGAACATTTACTGAAAATTTCAGCTCAGTGCGTGCATTGTTGATAAAAACGCGATGTCCACGATTTTATCGGACAACCCTCGTATGTAGTATTTAAGGATGGATTCTTGTCAGCATTTTACGTCGTCAATGGGTCTCCATAAATTATGCAAGTCGTAAAATGCAAAATTCATATTTAATTATACTGAGGGAAAAACTATTAGTTAATTTGTCAGTTTAAGTAATGTTGAATCTATTTCTTTTGAAATTAATAAATTTTTCGTAATATTTTCTTTGATTTGCGACAATCGCCATAATATTCGCAGTTCGGTAGCGAATGTCAACATGTCCAGATCATTTTCCGTAGAAAACCCCGAGAGGGTTGTTTTGTAAAATCTACCAACTGTGAACATTATCGAAGCATTGCAGAAGCCCAGGGACAGTTATGACAAATTAAATCATAGTTATTTATGCCCGGGAAATTCCGATCAGCCAAAAGGGAAGCTTGAACTTGAAGGTCACAAACATGTGCAAGATTGCAGATCCACGTTGCCTCGTCTGAAGTCATGTCGTGTGCAGTGAGCATGTAAGTTAGTTATATATGTCTGAAGATTTTTATAATTTTGAAATTGAATTCAATTACATGCTGGTTTGTATTGATTTATGGGAATTCGCACGGAAATTATAGTCCTGTTATCAATATTTCGTCTGCTTATTCCCGCGACTTGTCAACATTTGAAGAGGATATATTTCGTGTGTTCGTCAGGTTTATGAATAATAATTCACAAAAATAGCATTTTTTGTATATGATTACAACAAATTTTATATTTTTAACTAGCCTACTTTGTTCAAGACACAACAATCATCAAGTTATTAGAAAAGTAAGGTGTCCCGCTTGGGTACAAATCAAACGGAAAAATAACTTGATATTGTATGTGGAAATATCAATAATATTGAAACACACAATTGTCTAATAAATAGAGCAAAATGAAACATTATTGTTAAAAAACTATTTATATTATTGTTTTTTTATTTTTTTACTTTTCTGTACTTTTAGGATGAAAAATGTCTATTTATTTATATCCAATACATTATAATATAAGACATAATGCATATGGTAGAATCTATTAAAATATCTTCATTCATTTAAATCAATAAATGAAATACAGATGAGATAAGTTGTTTAATCTTATAATCAATTTCCATTAATTTAAAAAAATAGTCTAAGGGATGTTCGTGTTTAATTCTTAGGAGAAAATCAACCCTACTTTACCCTAGACTAGAAAAAAGACTGGAGGTCAGAATGCAGGATGATTGAGCAAGGAGTGCTGGCAGATGGACTATTGAGGTACATGTATAAGAAATATGGAACCAACTTTATCTAACTATCATGTAATGCAGCATCTGTGTTGCTATGTAAAATATATTACTTTTTTTTTTAAATTATAGGTCAACAAAAAATTTGGACTTTCATCGGGTGGACACATGTTCAGCAAGAAATTCTCATATCAAATGAATGATGGCTGTCTGTGGAAAAGAGATTTTCTCAGAATATATCACAGATCAGAAGCAGGAATTACATATTTATCTGATCAAAGAAATGTTTTTGTAGAAATGTGGAAGTCAATGCATGTTATCATAGTCACTGCTGCTTGTTGCATGATTCCATTCTTGATTTTTTTCAGAAACTTTCAGTCAAAAATAGTTTTATTTATAATTATATAATGTTTAATTATTTGATTCCCAAGTACCCGATACAGTGCACACTTTGTAGAATGTGATTACTTTACAAAATCTTTGATTCAGATTTGAAATCTTACTCCCAGAGTGAATTTTTCAAGCATTATCTTTCATTAGATTACAATTTGAAGATTTACATGTACTGGCATTACAACAACTTGTAAATGATATATACCTAGCTCTATGTATTCAGTTGCTTTACATTTTCAAATACAGTTAAAATCTTAAAATACAGTTCTGGAATACAAAAAAATGTGCCTGCTTAGATCATTTAGTTAAAGGGTGATTTTAAGCAAGAGCATGCCGAACAAAATTGCTGGTAGTGGCCGGGTTAAAATTTAGATTTTTACAAATGAACTACATACACGTACTTGCAGTAGAAACCCTCAAGAGGTAATTTTTAATTCATTTCAATATAAGTTATTGACACTGATCAATAAATGTTTGTGCTACAAATTCTTAAAAAGAAATTTCATCCTTGAATAAGTATTTTGCATCTAAATGTGAAATTAAGTTTGATAGCTGCATGCATATTATTGTTACAAAGTTCAAGGATGTCATTTTCAGGCAAAGATGTCAAAGGGCATTTGATTGTCATAGATGGCTTTTTTGTTATCTTAAAACTCCAGCAAATTTTACGCAATATGTGATCACAATGAGGAGTTATATTTATTGGTGCTGAACAAACTATATACTTATAAATGTGTGTAGGTATTTATTGTCCCTCACTTTCACGAAAGGGAGGGGACATTAAATCTCATTCGTCTGTCGGGCTGTTTGTCACAAAAACTTTAACCTTGGCCATAACTTTTGAGTGAGAAGAGATTGGGCTTTTGTATTTCACATGTACATTACCTGTAACAAGACCTTTCCAAATATACTGTGAATTTTGACCCCGTGGCCTTGAAGTTTGACCTACTTTTCAAAAAAATTAACATTACCTTAAATTGGTCATAACTTTTGAATGAGAAAAGATAGGACTTTCATATTATGCCTGTTTATTACCTGTGACAAGACTATTATTATACTATGACTTTTGACCCCGTGACCTTGACCTTGAAGTTTGACCTACTTTTCAGAAAATTAACATTTCTTTAAATTGGTCATTAAATTTAAATGAGAAAAGATAGGGCTTTCATATTAAATATGAACATTACCTGTAAGAATACCTTTCCAAGTGTACTATGATTTTTGACCCCATGACCATTACCTTGAAGTTTGACCTACTTTTCAAAATTTTTATCTTTGCTTATAACTTTTGATTTAGAATAGTTAGGGCTTTCATATTTAATATGTGCATTAGTAGTGACAAAGAGTTTCCAAGCATGCTATAATTTTTGACCCCTTTACCTTGACCTTCATGTTTGACCTAAATTTCAAGAATTTTATATTTGGTGATTACTTTTGAATGACATATGATAGGGTGTTCATATTTGACAAGTGCATTACCTGTGTCAAAATGTTTCTGAATATGCTATGATATTTGACCCTGTGACCTTGACCTTCCAGTTTGACCTAATTTTCAAACATTTCATCGGTTTGCTAACTTTTGAAGGAGCAAAGATAGGGCATTCATATTTGACAAGTGCGTTACCTGTGACAAGCATTTCCAAATGTACTATGATTTTTAATCCCATGACCTTGACCTTGAAGTTTGACCTAATTTTTAAAAAGTTTATCATTGCTAATAACATTTGATTGTGAGAAGAGATGGTATTTACATTTGACATGTGCATTACCTGTTTCAAGACCTTTCTGATTGTATACTCTGGTTTCTGATATTTTTTTTTACATGTGCATCACTTGTGAGAAGATCTTTTGGATTTTATTATGATATTTGACCTCATGACCTTGATCTTGAAGTTTGATGTAGTTTTGAGAAGCTATAGTCTTTGCCATAACTGTTATTAATTCAATAATTTATGTTTTTTTGTATGATGCACAGATAAGACAGGACAAACAAACAAGACAGTTAAAGTATGCCATAAATAATGGCATCCCATCCGCTAAGACATCGAAAGTGGGGGACCACAATTCTTTGAATTTGCTTGTTGTTTTCAAAACTCAGTTTACAAATGTAAAATATCCAATAATAACATAATACCAGGGACCTATATGTATATAACTACATATACATATTAGTCCCTCTGATATTCATATATTAAGCTTTGAATGGCATGTTCACTATACATGTATATTGACTTCATGTTTATGTCATAAATAATGTATTGAAATCTTTTCTAGTCTATGAAAATTTTATGTATGATTTTTCTCATAACTTTTTGGAAGGTTTATTATTTATTCCTGGTTATATTAAAGGTTAAGTTGCTTTGAATTAGTCCTGTGCATGTGAAGAATGTATGTGATAATTTTTCTGTAATTGCCACTAGAAAATTGATGTATTTTATAAAATTGTCAAACATAACATTCATGAGAATAAAATGACAGAGGAAATTCGAAAGGAATATTTTGAATATCATTAGTGTAAAATACCATAAAAACAGAATGTATAACTGGGAGAAATGAATGTATTTATGTCACAATTACACCAAATTGATATGTTTTTGGGGATTAAAAATCTTTTTTATAGACATTTAAAACACTCTGTAAAATGAAGATTTCAGAAAGTATAGAGCAAATTCGGGCTATTTTTTTTTTTCGATAATTTGCCTGATTACTATATCTTTTTTACCTTGTAAATTAATCTTGAACCTTTGAATATTCATCAGACAAAAATCTAAATATTTGACATTATATGGTCAGTTGTAAAAATTGAGATGAAATTTCATGTGAATTCATAAAAACTGAGAATTTTGAAAAAATATCGAGGAAATTCGGATTAAATATATTTATTGAATATAAAGGATTTCATGTTATCTTTTCACCAGCTCATTTCATATGAATTAGTCATCAAAAAAAGTAACAACTTTAATTTTATTGTGAAAGATATTTTTTCAGTCAGCAAAATTTATTTATATGCATAAATTTCAAAACTTCTCTGTGTAAAAGTACTATTTTTAGGACTGACTTTCAAATGACCTTGACTGAAAATCAAGGCCGATGACACCAAAGTTTTTGGATGTTAAAAGAGTGTAAACAGTCTGAATATTGAGTATTCAGAAAATCAAGATTCTGCCATTATAAGAAATATGAGAAGAATCCATCCTTAAGATTTCTGTTATTGGGATGTTTATGTCATTTTTATGGGTTTGTTTTGTAAAACATTTCTTTTTCTAAGAAGTGGAAAATTCAGAGCATTATGTACTTGATGATGAATTTTAAGCTGATAACCGTCCTTTTCTATTTAAGGAAAAAACTCTACCAGGATGTAGAGATTTCAGTTAGATGAAAGCAAAGATAATTTGCTAAAATTGGCTATGTTCTAGGATATATGTAACAGATTAAGTATAAAATCTGGAAGTTAGAATAAAAAAGGAGAGAATTCCTACGCATCCACCCATCCTCGCCCCTCATAAATTGTACCTGTATTTATTATCAAATGAGACCATTGTAAATTGGAATTGTATTTTGTTACAAAAAATGAATTCAATTGAAATTTTTCCATCTTATCCATATCAGTTAGTAACAACAGTAATAAATGATTTCAAACACTTTTACTTTCAATGGAGGAACACAAATACATATTTTTATAATCATTATCAGCTTGTAGGCCAATGATTGTCCCTTTTACGTTTCCTTGCACTAAGACGGTTATCCAACTTAGTTTTGTTAGGTTTCTCTTTACAAAAAAAAGAAGATTTTATTGTTCATGAATATATATTACTATGCTATTGGAGATTTTTAGTAGAAGAAAAGGAGTGCCATCACTTTCACAGGTAGTTTCCCTTTAAGTTTCGAGAATGCAGAATTCAGCATTTGTTAGATATATCATGATATGATGTTTTCTATGTTGATTGTTTATGAAGTATCATTCACTATGATATAAGAGCTTTGACAAATTTTTAAAGAAGTATTATTGTTTGAATGAGACAAACATCATTCTATTGACAAGGCATATTTCCAAACTTCACTATGACGATCGTTATAGGGACGTTATAGGGACTTAAGACATATGACCAAAATGAAGATCAGCTTTTCAAAGAAATGTATTTCTCAAAAGATGTTAATTACTCATTGAATGACTCACCGCAAATTTGAACATAGCAGAACTCATATCGTAGTTCTGAATTTGTCGTGTAACACCAAGGCTGATCTGCTTGAAACGTTCTGCAGAAATTCTCATCAGTGCCAGGCCAGTTATCATATACATGTTGATGTGGGTATTGTCGGTCCCATCTCTGACATTGTTTCCCTGAGATTGTTGTATTTATTGATCCTCTGTATGGGATTCCAAACTCAAAACAATCTGTAAATGGAAAGTTTCATAACAATCTGGAGTACTATAATTAAACTTGGTTTCCAATCAAGAACCTTAAACTGTAAAGATGCTGTACCCTTTACTTGATAGCATTTACGACCAATGCAGAATTAGTACTTATCTTTGTATGTAAATCAAAAACAAAATTAAAACTCTGATAACCCTATTTTTTAACAATCATACATTTTTGAAAACGGAAATTACCCTCATTTGTGCATGAAACATAAATTAAAGTTCCAGTGATAAAAACAAGAATCCGTAGAGCCATAACATATAATTAATTTAAAAAAACGTAGACTGATGTATAAGTCCTTGATTTGAATCCCTACATCCAGTGTTTTCCACAAGAGCAGTTAAATCTGATATACAGATATCAGCCACATACAAGGGTTTGAAAAGGAAACTTCTGACTTCCTTCTAGGGAACAATCTATGATCAACACTAGAAAAAAATATTTTCTCTGAAAAAAAAAAAAACTTTTGCAATATTTCTTTATCATTTAGTGCTAATTATTTTATTAAAAAAGACAAAACTGATCCCAAATGGAATAATTTATGCTTAATTTTGATAACTCTTTTGTGAGCTCTACTATCTGTTAGAGATTTCTACTCTCTTTTCAAACTATGTAGATGTATGAGACTATTTGTATGAATTATTATCTCTTTAAGAAAAATATAGAAATGGTGCTATTAATTGAAAACAATAATAATATTTTGTTCCCAGTCTAATTGATTCATATTTTTTTGGCAAATGAACTGGCAATTCAAATTGTCAAAATTAAAAAAAAAAGTTCCTTTTATTCTAGCAGCTCAGAATTTTGACCTGTTCACTTAATTTTCAACTTGGAAAGTAGAACATTTTAAAAAGTTTTAATTATAATAGGTAAGACATGGGAATAAGGATTGCTTGCATTTATATTTCATGTTTGTGGATTTTCAAAAATAAAAATTATTGAAGGCTTATAACACCACGACTTGTTAATAAAGCTCCCCCTGGCTATGATATTCATTACATTTTCACGGATTTGGTATATATAAAATGAACAAAGTTAAATTACAAGTGAATAGATTTTTCAGGAATACGAACTTGTTACGAACTTTTAACATTTCCTTTCAAAACAAAGGTGATTAGAGGATTCCCCATGGTTTGTGGTTATGATCTTTATCTATTATACTGCATTGTTGCACCCACTATTGAAATAACGTTTACTATTGAAATAATTATTTCAATAGTGGTTAAAAGTGCATTTCAAAACTAAATGTAGGTTGAAACCACTATTGAAATAACGTTCATTATAGAAATAATTATTTCAATAGTGGTTGAATGGGTATTTCAAAACCAAACACAGATTGTAACCACTATTGAAATAACGTTTACGATTGAAATGAAATATATGGAGATAACGAAGAGTATTCAGGCTCAAAAGTCCATCAAACAATACAAAATAGGAGTAGAGCAAACACGGTTTGTTTATTTACAGACACGCTTTGTTTATTTACAGACACGCTTTGTTTATTTACATACATAGTCAGTCTTGTATATATGTTTGTTATGACTGACTTACAAGTACTTGTTCTTGTAACAAGCCCTAGTTCATTATTCTCTGTTTACAATCTGTTTTTTATTTTGATTACATCTACAATGGGTTTCAGTTTTTCTAGACAATATCAATATTTATATGTTTGCAAGCTACAACGTTGCTGTTTTTTGCGGCTTTATTTTATTTTCCTTCAACCCAGAACACTAGTTATTACCGATCATGGGTAATACTCTTGATCAACATCGAGCCGCAATTGGAATTTTTTACCTCCGAAATAGATGCACAATCAAATCCATGACTTATTGTTTTTTCAGATTTATACATTTATTCTCCTTGTTGTTAAAAGTGTACCAATGTTGTAAACAAAAATTCAAAGTTTGCATGAAATACGCAGTATATTTTCAGCATGTCAATTTTCTTTTTCAACTTATAAGCATTTTACTACTGTTGTCTGGGGATATTGAATCAAACCCTGGGCCTACAAATAACATAGTCCGTACTTTAGATATTTTTCATATAAACATAAGAAGTATAAGAAACAAAATTGAAAATTTAATATCATTTGTCAGTGATTATCACATTTTGTGTTTTACAGAAACACATTTAGATGCAAATATTGACGACAACGCTATTTCAATTGAGGGGTTTTCTAAAATTTTTCGCAAAGATCGAAACTCATATGGGGGCGGTACACTTATTTATGTATCCGATTCACTTAGAGCTTTAAGACGTGCTGACCTTGAACTTTTGAACACTGAATGTATATGAATAGAAGTAAGCGATCCTACAAGTAATATTTACCTTTGCTGTCTGTATCGGCCTCCGAATTCTGACAAATCCTTTTGGAAAAACATAATGTGGTCCATTGAAAAAGTTTCTGATATATCCAACAAAATAATAATCCTTGGAGACTTAAATGTAGATTTTTTAGATATCCCACACACTCACATAGTTAACGAAATTTTGTCCCAACATAGCCTTTGTAATATCATTAACGAAGCAACGAGAGTCACGAGTAGTTCGAGCACGCTTATTGACCCAATTCTAGTTAGCTCAGACATCAGAGTGCTTCACTCCGGAACTGTTCAGGTTGATAATTTTATAAGTGATCATAAAGGAACATATATTTATGTAAAGTCAGATGTTATTCAAAATCAATCATACGAAAGAAAAGTTTGGTTATATAAACATGCAGATATGGATAAATTGAATTCTCTTATTGAAAATACTGACTGGAACACACTTATTAGTGAAGCACCGGATATAGATCAAGCAACAAATAATTTTACATCAACATTTTTGAATATTGTGAAGGAATGTATTCCTGAAAAATCGGTTGTAATTCGTCCAAAAGACAAACCTTGGTTTGATTCGGCTTTGCGTAAAACACATAGAACTAAAAAAAGATTATTTAATAGGGCTCAAAGGACAAAAAGAAACTCTGACTGGGAAAAATATAAAAAATGTAGGAACAATTTTAACAATATGAAAAAAATTGCGATCGAAAATTATTATAATAATATAGAACACCACATTACAGATGCAAGTAAAAATAATTCGAAACTGTACTGGAAATTATTGAGAGATATATTTAAAGTTAAATCAACTACAGACATTCCCCCTCTACAGTATACTTTTATTAATGGTGATGCATCTATTGCTTTTTCAAATGAAGAGAAAATAGATGTTTTAAATGATTATTTTGCTTCTATTACTTGTATTGATGATAGCGACGCTGTGTTACCGGATTTTTTTTCTGCTTGCAATAGCACATTTGAGACCATCTGTATTTGTGAACAAGAAATCATAGATATTATTTCAATTCTACCTGTAAATAAAGCAATAGGCCCAGACAATATTAGTCACAAGATGTTGAAATCCACAATGTATACTATTGTAAAACCGTTATGTTTATTGTTTGACAGGTCATTAGTTGATTGTATTTTTCCTTGTAAATGGAAAGTTGCTAATGTTCTCCCTTTATTTAAGAAAGATGATCCTTCTATTATGTCTAATTATAGACCTGTGTCATTGCTAAGTTGTATTGGTAAAGTAATGGAACGAATCATATTTAAACACTTGTATAATCACTTTCATGATAACAAACTTTTTTATAAATACTAAGCTGGATTTCTACCAGGTCACTCCACTGTATATCAATTAATTGAAACATATGATACTATTGTTAAAGCTATTGACAACGGTGAACATTGTTGCAAGATATTTTGTGATCTTTCTAAAGCTTTTGATCGTGTATGGCATAAGGGTCTCTTGTTTAAACTCAGAACTTATGGTATAGAAGGAAATTTGTTTCAATGGTTAAAGAGTTACATAGAGGGTAGATCACAACGAGTTTTATACAGAAACTTATTATCTGACAAAAAACCTTTATATGCGGGTGTCCCTCAAGGCTCAGTGTTAGGACCTCTATTATTTCTTATATATGTAAATGATGTTGCTGAAGAAATGACAAGTTTTTGTAGACTATTTGCAGATGATAACTCCCTTCAGCAGTCATCTAAAAATGTCAATACTATCGAAAACAAACTGAATTATGATCTTAACAAGCTAGAAATTTGGTCGAAAAAATGGCTTCTTAAATTCAACTCTTCTAAAACTAAAGCAATATTTTTCAACTTGAGAGGAAGTGTTAATTATCCTAAACTCTTCTTCCAGCAAAGTCAGCTAGAATTTGTCTCTTCGCATAAACATTTAGGGATTTTTTTCTCACATGATCTTAGTTGGTCTACACATATTGATACTATTCTAACTAATGCGTATAAAAAATTGGGCTTATTAAAAAAACTTAAATTTGTAGTAAATCGGAAAACTCTTTCACTCATGTACACAACCTTTATTAGGCCACAATTAGAATATGCTTCACTGGTGTGGGGTGGGTGTAATGTAGGTGATAGCAAAAAATTAGAAAAATTACAATTATGTGCTGCTAGAATTGTCACAGGCTTAACTCTGTTAGCTTCTAAAGATGCACTTTACTTTGAAACTGGATGGGAACCATTACATGAAAGAAGGAAATATACTAGATTAACTACAATGTACAAATTTATAATAATCAAGTTCCTGAGTATCTGACTGATATAATCCCAAATTTGCGTTGTAATTCATCAAGTTACAGTACGAGAAATTCACATAACTATAACATACCCAAATGCAGATTACAAACCTACAAGTCAACTTTCATTCCCCTCGTTATTGATGAATGGAACTCATTACCTCTTGTTGTAAGAAATTCTTCCTCATTATCTATTTTTAAAAAGTCTATTTCTTATAATAAAACTATGCCACCCTCTTACTTCAGTTACGGAAATCGACGCTTAAATATATTACATACAAGGCTTCGACACAACTGTGTACATAATAGCGATCTTTTTCGATGTAATATAATCTTGAGTCCCTTATGTTCCTGTGGAAGAGAGTAGAGGACACCCATCATTATTTCTTCTCGTGCAAAAAATATACAGAAGCCAGAAAAGAATTTTTCGATAAATTTCTGCGAATGGGAAAATTACATACTGTCGATACTCATACATTACTCTGGGGAGATGAAAAGTTAAACAATGTTGAAAATGAATACTTATTTTCTATTGGACAAACATTTATTAAAAAGTCATGTCGTTTTGGCTGATGCAATAATTACTTCTTGCAAATTCTATACAGCTTGTGTATTGTATAATGTTTCTCTGGTTATTATGCTTTTCTGTTTTTTA